GATCGAAAAAAGGAGATTGTCCCCGTAGAAAGACACTCGGATGAAATTGATTGGCCACAACGGAAGAGCAACCCCCCAGAAAGGAAATAACCACGACACGCTGCGAACGGATAGGCCGAAATATCGATGATGAAGTCGATATCGTGCGAGTCGATCGCGGGCCATCGATTATCCGCGCTAATGAATGCGCAAACACGGATGTACGAAAGGTTAACGTTTCCTGTTCAGCGGTGGAAGTCGAGAGTGGCTGTTGTTGCGGCTATCGATCATCCACGCACCTTCGTCGATCCGAGTATTATAGGCATGATGTTTGCGGTTTTGATATATCGATTTTTCACTAACTTTAGTCAGTTTTAGAAATTCAATATACCTTTAATCCGTAATCGTATGGTAGACAGCACGCGTTCGTACTTCAAATATAACTCCTCGTCTTTTCATTTTCATCCTATCTTATGAGAAAAAGGATTTTATTTTTTCGAGAGTTAAAGGAATTGCAAGAAGGTAGACAGAAGGAGATTAAATATCATCCGAACACAATAAACTTTGCGGGAGAAAAATAGAACAGAGATCTCCTCGAGTGCATTGAAGCATCTCGTAGGAGCGATATATCAAAGAAACCCATTGTCTCGCCTAATGAAAGTTTTACATCTGTCTACTGTATTGTAAACTATCGATAATGGAAACGTGAGAATCGATAAACCGATAATTTATATAATTATATACAAAAAAAAACACTCGAAAAATACACAGCATTTGGAAATTAATTCAAACGATTCACAATTTCGCGAACAAACACGAGCGAATGCAATTACGCGCGCATTAAGACATCCTTAATAATATCCTCGGCGATATCCTGATCCTTATCCACATCCACGCACGACCACTCGCGAATATTCAAAGCGTTATTCCAAGGAATTTATTATCTCCCGAATTAATGATTCCCCTTTCGTTCGACATTCGAAACAAAACAAACGAAAAGGAAAATACGCGCGTTAATACGATATTTTCGATGTTTGGAAACACACGAGTCACGCACGAATATAAAGGCGGTTCAGTCGCGAGGAAGACACCGAGGAGGAACGTATTAAAATCCGTGGCTGTTCCGCATGCAAATTGCTGTATGCGCGCGATGCGTCCACGATGCACGTGCAAGTAAACCGCTTAGATTTACGCGTATTCCTGCAACAACGCACCGCCGGTACACGTATAATATACGTGGCTCGAACACGATCCACAGCCGCACCGGGGCTGGTTACTTTCCAAGTAACACGTGTTGCATGATCAAATAGTAACATGAAAAGTGGTCACACGTAGCGGAAGTCGGATAACAAGATTCCTGATCAATATTCCCCGGCTGAGAAAATTTGAGAGCGGGAGTCGAACAGGGGATCACTTGTTCGAAACTGTCGATGCTCCTCCACACTGAGTGTTCGTGGAAATTACGTTTCCAAGCTTCTAATACGCCCCTCGGATTTTTCAAGTAAATAAATTCGAATGATGTATCGTGTATCTTTCGAGTTACGAAAGATGTTTGGCGAGAAAAGTAATTATCATTCGTTTAAGGGATAATCGGTTTTTAGAAATATCCTTGAAGATGTTCAATCTGAGCGTAAAAATGTCGCGAAGAGTTTATCTTTAAATTAGAATACCGATCCTAACAGAGAGTTATTATATTAAGTAATGAGATCTCTCTCGCTAATATTCCCCCCTCGTTATCTCTCTCGCCGTTCGACCTATCTTTATTTTCCCGCCATCTATCTATATATATTTTAATCTGGATCCTTTCGAAGTGCATAAAGCGCAGAGAGGCGAATAATCAACTCCAAATGAGTATTGATAAAAAAAAAAATAAATAAATACAAACCTACGCAAACTACGATCGATATTAAAAAAAAAAAAATCAAGCGATAATTCGTTGGTCAAATAAAAATAATTTTTCCTCTGTAAAAATCCAGCAAAAAAAAAACCAACGCATTCTTCCATTCTACTCTATCGTAATCTAAATCTCGATCAAAAAAGAGAGAGAGAGAGACGAAACGAGTCGGTAAATCTGAAACAATTCAATAAACCGGTGACATTCTGCACGCATCCAGCAGAAGAATACTAATTCTCCAGACCAGTGGAGACAAAGACTTAACCAACCACGAGCGATCAGAAGACAACGAAGAGAGGGCTAACGATCTATCAGGGCCGCGGGCGCTGAAACAAAAAGGCGGCCACGACAATGGAGGAGGCTTTTCGTGGGAGCGCGATAACAAAGCTCCCTTCGCGCGAGCGTTCCCGTTAAAAAAGGAAAGAGAGGAAGAACGTGAGGCCCAGCCACCAACCCTACGTGCACTCGCTCTCCTCTCTTTCTCTCTGCTCGCTCGAGACTCCCTGTCCCCGCCTACCTTTGTCCCTTCCTCGAGCAACGACCGCCGATCCGACGAGATAGCTGTGGAAGCTATCCCGGAAGAGGACATGAAAAAAGAGAGAGAGAGAGAGAGAGAGAGGGAAAAAGAAGAAGAAGAAAAGGGGAGAAAAGCACGTGTAGGTAGTCGGAGGGTTTGTTTACAGGCCGTGGAACTCGAGTCTGTCTCTGTTCCACGCTTGGATAATATAGGCGCCGAGATATGATGAGGTTGTAAAATTAATAGGCAGTCGAAGTAATCGTGTTTTGAGGATTGAAAGAGTTGAGTGAAGAGGAATAAGTAAAAGTGAAGATAAGAAAGTTCGTTATTGAGAAATTTTGAATATAAAAATAGTTCGATTGAAAGGATGTTTAAAAAAAAAAAAAAAGAAAAAGAAAATTATCATTTACACGCGAATATAATTAATAGAGAAAGTTGTATTTCTATATGAATAATTTCTTACACATCGTAAAACGTTTTCTTTTTGTATCTTGTTTGAAGATTTAACAATTTTTGATAGATTAGAAATAGCAAAGAGCAATACCGTTTCGATATAACAAAATTAAGCTTGGATAGAAAAAAGATTCAATCTGCCTACGAATGATTAATTTATAATCCCTTCTATATCGTACTACGTATAATCGATTCACGCTCATTTCCTCGACGTCTTCGGCCCTTTTTCCTCGCCATTCTTCTTTCTTCCTACTTTTTCCCCCCCTCTGTAATTCTACTACTACGAGAGGCATGCTCGTTCGCGTGGAGTTCCACGATTCACGTGGAGAACGGTAATCGCGTGCAGCTGCGCTGCCTTCCCGATAAAAAGCCTCGTTCACGAGGGCCACGATGCGCGACGACAATGGAGGACGATCGTCGCCGCGGTGTAATCGAAAGTACGAGGCATGGAATCGTGGCGATCGAGTCACCTGATCGCGATCGAGAGATACTCGAGAATGGCTGGGCAGGTAGAAGGCTAGGCAGAACTTAGGAGCACCCTGGGTGCCGGCTATTGTTCCTTTGTTGAGGAGTTGGGGGGTCTTGAAAAGTGGGTATCCGGGTAATGACCGATTGAACGGCTAATGGAACCAATAGATAGAACAATGTGGCTTTGAGAAATTCTGAGAACACGCCAATTGCCGTACCAATTTCACTATTTCGAAGAAAAATTTGGAATTCAATGGAGCAAATTGAATTTCGAAATATTGATTTTTTAAAATTTTCCTAGCAAGATATAGGTGGTATTTACGTAATTTCGGGAGAATAGATAATATCTACTTTCTTATTCTAAACATATACGACAACAGAAGGATTAAATCTAACCAAAGCATTTATAATTCAGATGGAAACTAACGCTTCTAATATAACTTTTCGTCTATCTTATTTAGCCTTGGATTAAGTATCGGAACACAAAGTAAAAAAGGCAGCCCAAAATTTATTTCTCTAATTTAAATTATTCCCGCCATTTTGAACTAGCAAAATTATTGCAAAACTCACCAATAACGGTGTTGGCAGCGACCTCTTTCGCAGCGGCGGCAGCAGCTG